ACCGTCTATCAGAATAGGCCCTTAGGGCCTGTCTGTCCTAGAGGTAGCCCGGGCCTGCTATTCGCAGTTAGGGTAGCGGTAGGGAATTTTGTTGGTACCGGGCCTGTATTTTTCCCGAATTTGCAGATATGTCCCTCACGAATTTCCCTCACAGGTAGGTCTTTCGGTTAACCCTCAGCCAAACAAAATTACGAATCTGTCCTACCTATAGCACAGCCTCGACAAAGAGAGGCTACAGGCAACCAGAAAACAGCAAGTCATTGCAAAGGCACTACATCAAGCCAAGCCAGGATGACTGGGACGAGAAACTGCCTCTCGTCGCCAGCTGTACAACAACGCTGTACACAGCGCTACTTGCATGACTCCCAACCAACTGCATCTTGGTTGGAAGCCCCGTTCCACCCTTGATTTCCTACTACCTGAGAAACAGGCCACTGCAGCACCAGGTAGCGTAGAATTTGTTGTCAAATAAGAACAGATGCTGCAGCAGGTCGTGGAGCAGATGAGGAAATCTCAAGATGCTATGATTGCATCTGAGAACAAACACAGACGACCTTCTAACTTTCAGGTAGGGAACAGCGTCTGGGTAAAGTCATCTGAACTGGGACAGGAACTGGGAATATCTTGAAAACTGATGCCACAGTACTTAGGTCCCTGGGAGGTCCTAGACATAGTGGGGGATCAGGTGGACGAACCTTCCTATGTGATTCACGTCCCACCTCATCTACGTACACATCCAGTTTTTCATGCCTCAAAGCTGGCACCTTTTGCAGAGACTACAACGTTTCCGGTCAATGCTGCCCCCAACCATGGATGGTGAAGTTGACATCGACGGAATTGTGGAGCATCGAGTGATGCCAGTACCTAAACCGCTGGGCAGAGGCCGCCCTCCTAAGCCAAGAATGCAATACCGTGTCAGATCCAGGCATCATCTGGATCCCAGCGAAGATTGGTGGTTCACCAGAGAAGAACTCATGCGAACAGCACCTCAAGTTATTGCAGGCTATGAAAGAGAACTCAAGGGGAAGATGCCTGCAGATTAGAAGACTTCTCAGAGGACTATCGAAGAAAAGGAGGAGGGAATGCGAGGATCTGGGTCCTCGACAGGCCTAAGGGGCCTCTTGCTGCAGATGTGCCCGCCCTAAGTGAAGGCGGGCCTAACAAATCACGAGAGGCCCTAAGCTGTCAATTTTGTATTTGGGCTCCAGGCAGTTCCGTCGCGCCAGTTGGTCGAGGGAAACACAGGCCGAGCAGCGAGACATTCCACGGCCTTCCAGACCTTTCCAAAAAAAAAGCAGGCCCTGGTTGCAAATCACAGGCTCATACACAGACAGTTGGGAGGCCCAACCGAATGAGGCCCAGTAGCTGCAACAGAGGCGCAGCATCCTGGGGCCTACCGGAAGCTTCCGGGCCCAGGCCCAGGCCAGCCAGACTGCGAAGGCAGGCAGGCTCTTTCCATATAGGAAAGAGCTTGCTGCCTGGAGCCTCATTCAGCACTTGCATGCTGGCGGCAGCGCTGCTGGAGCGGACACTCGTGGGCTGCTGCTGGCGCTGAGAGGTAAGGTGCTAGCACGTGTGGTTGTGCAGGGAGCAGGGCGCTGCTGAGGGCAGCGCCATAGCCCAGCCTCCATAGATGGATGGGCTTGGACTACAGTTAGGCGCAGGGGTGGTCTTCGGGTGTACAGAGGGAAGACATGGGAGTAAGTCAGGGGAGAGAGAGAAGGATGATGGTGATGATGATGATGATGTGAGGGCACATACCTGGTATTGGCGATGGTCCGCATTGGGCGACATCTTCAAGTACTTCATGGGCTGCTGACGTCAACAGTTGCATTGTCAATTAGTAGGCAGACTGTAGCTGTGTAGGAAGTAGGCTGGGCGCCGAGCGTCAAGTAGGGAGATAGGGCCTGGACACTCGTGTTGGTGGTGGCGAGAGCAAGCTCTCATTGACATTGGTTTTCAGTGTTACGATTCTTCATTGCTGTTATATTGGTGCATTTCTACTTTCTGGACACTGTGATACTATCTGGCCTTCAATGTGATTGTGCATTCTGGACATTGTCATCTCGCTATTGCTCATTTTCCTTTCAAAACACATGTATGTGTAAAATTCTCTTAGGGGAGACTCATTTTAGGACTTTCTTGAACGAGTCTGCTGGTAGTTGAGGCCAGATGCAGTCGAGAAAGTCCGAGTCTGCATTTAGTGCATGACACGAATATCTTCTTACCCTTGGTAAGTTGAGTCTCCCTCTCTTTTTTTCTGTTTTTTCGGTTGAGCTGACCGCCTGGGTCTTTTTTAGAAGATTAATTTTCCACCCTTTTGTCCTTGTTCCATGAGACTGAGAATGGTTGTTGTAGTCCATTTACGGCAAACATTCCGATGAGCAGTGAGCTTGCCTGGCATTTTCCACTTTCAAAACCGCTGAAATAAGCGCAACAACGCAAAACGTGGTCCTAAACTACATTAAAAAAGGGACAAAATCTGATGTGGTGCATGCAGTGAATTTCTTCCATTTCTCCTCAACCTTTTGGGGCCTGGTCCGGCTTATGTGGATTCTTCATTCTAGACCATTGACTTTGAAAATCAATGGCCAGAATTGAAGAATTTGTTAAGTGGCACTTGGCCCCTTGGAGCCAGTGTATCATTCTCGTTCAATTCTGTTTTTTTTCCTTTCTCTTTTATTTGCAAGGTAGGACCTTGCACCTGAAACTTTTAAAACAGTCAGGTTTAGAAAAGCTTTTTTTTTCAAATCTACTTATGGGAAGTTAGTCTCCTTTTTCAAAAACCTTATTCTCTCCATCTGCCTTTTGACATGTTGATGCAGTTACCAAACGTGATTGCGGAGGTCCTGGCAATTATCCAGATAGCAGTCTATGTGAAATACAGGTAAGGAGCCAAGAGGAGCTTAAACGGGGGGGGGGGCAAAGGGGGGAGGGGGGTAGAGTGGGAGCGGAAGGGAAGGAGAGTTTTGAGTCATATTTGTTGCATATGCAAGGAAAATGAGCAATTGCGAGATGACAGAATTCAGATTGCACAATCACATTGAAAGCCAGAGAGTCTCACAGTGCCCAGAAAGCAGCATTGCACCAATGTTACACCAATAGAGAATCGAAACACTGAAACCGAATGTCAATGAGAGCTTACTCTCGTCATCATGAACATAAGAGTCCAGGCCCTTCCCCCTACTTGGCGCTCGGCGCCCATACTACTCCCCACACAGCTAATATCTGCCTACGAATTGACAATGCAACTGTTGACGTCAGCAGCCACCGAAGTACATGAAGATGTCGCCCAATGCAGGTCAATACCAGGGATGAGCCCTCACATCATCATCCTCATCTTTATCTCTCTCTCTCCCTCGTCTTCCCTCTCTACACCCGAGGACCACCACTGCGCCTTGCTGTTCATCCAAGCCCAGCCAGCTATGGAAGCTGGGCTATGGCGCTGCCCAAAGCACGCCCTTCTTCCTACCGCACGTGTGCAGCACCTTGCCCCAGCGCTAGCAGCAGCCCGCGAGCATCCGCTCCAGCAGCTCTGCCGCAAACTGGCAAGTGCCCGAATGTCTCCCCAGGCAGCGAGCACTTTCCTATATGGAAAGAGCTCGGCCTGGCCTGCAGCCTTCCTTGGGCCTGCGCCCAGAAGCTTCCGGTAGGCCCCAGGAGGCTGGCCTCCTGCTGCTGCTGTTGCGGCCCTGGGCCCCATTCGGTTACGTGCCCAACTGCCCGATGTGTATACTGCTGCAGATGTGGCCTAGGGCCTGCCCAAAGAAAGGCCTAGAAGGCCGAGTAAAGTTCTGCTGCTCGTGGCCTAGGTTTTCCCTCAACCAACTGACGCGACGAAACTGCCTGACCCCCAAATGCGAAATTGACAACAATGGGCCCCTCGTGATTTTTTCAGGCCTGCCTTCACTTAGGGCGGGCACACTTGCAAAATTGGGGCCCTTAGGCCTGCCAAGGAGCCAGTTCCTCGCATTCCCTCCTCCTTTACTTCGATAGTCCCTTGAGAAGTTCTTCAATCTGCAGGCATCTTCCCCTTAAGTCCGCTTTCATATCCGGCGATCACTTGGGGAGCTGTCTGCTGTAGTTCCTCTCTGGTAAACCACCGATCTTCGTCGGGATCAGTATGGTGTCTGAACCTGACACGATACTGCATCCTTGGCTTTGGAGGTCAGCCTCTGCCGGGAGGTTTAGGCACTGGTATCACTCTGTGCTCCACGATGTCATCAATGTCCACTTCACCGTCCATGGTTGGGGGCAGCATTGATCGTCTGGAGGGAAACTATGCAGTCTCTGCAAAAGGTGCCAGCTTTGAGGCGTGAAAAACTCGGTATGTGCGTAGGTGAGCAGGGATGCGAATCACATAAGAAGGTCCATCTGACTGATCCCCAACTATGCCTAGGACCCCCCAGGGACCAGAACACTGAGGCATTAATTTTCGTGAAATTCCCAACTCCTGACCCAGTTCAGATGATTCATCCCAGACTTTGTCCCCTACCTGAAAGTGAGAAGGCCGTCTATGTTTGTTCCTGCGAAGGTTGTGGGCATTCGCAAGGGGAAGGAGAATGGAAGATCAGGCACCACACAGTCGACGAAGGACTTGGCCCGATTGTCACCAAGTGTAACAGTGACAGTGGAAGGGTAGGGGGAAGTATAGAGAGATGCCTCCTTAACTACGCGAGGATGAATGAAGTCGCCAGTAGAGCCTGAATCCCATAGTGCGGGATACACTCTAGTAGAGGTCATGAGGCGCACTGGAATAATCGGTAAGGTGCTATCGATTGTGTAGGCGCTGAGACATTCGGCCAGGGTGAGCTCTTTAAGGCGGAGACGTTCCAGACGGACCGTGCAATATCCTCGGTTGCAAGAAGGGAAGCACTGCAGTGGGCCTTGCGAAGAGCACACCTGGTAGGAGGACGTGGAGGAGGGAATCACAAGAGACGCTAGGCGAGAAAGGAAAAGTTATACCAGTATCAGTAAGGTCAGCCAAAGATAAGGTCGGAGCAGAGTCAGCGGAAAGAGTAGCAAGCGGCACGAAGGTAGAGTCGCGAACGGGTATGCCTGCTACCGTAGGAGGCTCAGGGGAACGAGACATCGTGGCTAGGTGGGTGCTGCGCTGGAGGTTGAGACGGGGGAAACAGCCTGAGGGCGAGCCTGCTGTGCGAAGTGACGCTGGAGGGCGTCTGCGTGCGGGCAAGTACAGGAGGTATGGCCAATGAGGCGGCAACGGGTTCAGATGCCTCATGCATGAAGGTCCTCACTCTCAGAGATGGTCAAGGGGCTGCGAGGAAACACGAAATCCGTAGGGAGAGGTTGTTGAGGGACCAAAGAGCTCGTCCTCGGGGATGCGGACTGACGACGAAGGAAGGTTGAGAAGGCCCGAACAAGGTGGTCGTCGTGGGATGAGACGTCGTCATCGGCGGGGGACGGGGAGKCAGGTCCCTGATCGGGATCACTCATGGAACCGTCTAAGGCGGTGTCGTCCTCAGCGCTCGACGAATCACGAAGTAGGGCATGAAAGCGACAAAAGAGGGATCGTCCCGAACCTCTGCGAGGGCCACGACGGTAAGTGAAAGATTGTTGCGGCTAGGAGGGGCGAGGGGTTGCAGTAGTGGCGGAATGGGCAGCGGCGGGCCGAGGCGAGGGGCCAACGAGTGGAGCAAAAGTGACCTTGATGGCCCGAGCGGTGTTGAAAGCCTCAAGTAAGGTGTGGATTGAATAGGCCATCATCTACCACGAAAATGATTGAGGTAGGCCCGCATGGAATCACTGGATCATGGTGTCCTCTGGTATGGCGGAGACCGGGATCTGAGCGCGTAGGCGGTGGAATGCCGAAATGTAAGACTCTAAGACATTGTCGCCACCAAGCCATTTGATCTCAGCCACACAGGTAATCGGGTCGTGGGCTGGCGCAGGGCGAGAAAAGTATTGTTGAAGGAAGTCGCGAAACTCAGGATAAGACGTGCCCTCATGTACGTCGTGCTGTGAGCGAAGGGCGAGGAAGTTGCGACAGGTGGAGGTTCCGCGACCTGTAAAGTGAGCGGACATCTCGGCGGGCCACAGTTCCATGGAGACATCATGGTACCGAAGCTGCTCCTCCGCGGTAGTGATCCATCCTTGGAGCTTTGAGGCCTTGCCGTCAAATTGTGGGAGTCGGTCCGGTTGGAACTGGGGGACATAAGTCGGGGGCCGATAGTGAGGAGGAAGAGGGAGGGCAGACAGGGATAAAAGGACAGAGGAAGTAGTGACACCAATGGGAGCGCTAGAGAGAGTAGGAAGCTGGGGCAAAGGTCCCTAACCCATTGTGGTGGCCAGTGGCGAGAGAGTGAAGTGGATCGCAGCCGCCTGTGTCTGATGCTATCCATAAATGAAAAGAGTGATAGGCTGGGCCGTCATGTGTAGGCGAGGAGGCTGGCTTCCCTCGAGTTGGTGAATGTGATCTTAAGCCGCCACAAGCTGCTGCTGAAAACCAGCAATCTGTGTCCTGGGCGTAGGGGGAGGTGGGGGGGGAAGGGGGGGAATAGGAGGGGGTGCCAGGTGTCGTGGAGATGAGTGTCAAGGAGGTGGCAGGACAAGATGCCATGGCTCCTATGGAGGTAAGTGTGGGTGTAGGAACCTGGGAGGAGGATGTAGCTGTAGGGAAAGGGTGGGCCTGAGGAGGGGACATGACACCCGTGGTGGAGACAAGCGTGTAAATGGTATAGATGCTGATGACGGGGCTGGGATGGTGGAATGTGAGATCCCAAACTGGGGAGGGGAAGGATGTCATCCGCTAGCAGCATGTGTTGGGGAACAGGAAGGAGACGAGGGGAGAGGACTAGAACTTGACTCCGGATGTGCCATGCGGTCAGACAGAATAGCAAATTGAGCATCGAAGCGGTCTTGCATACACTGTAGGAGTATGGTGATCGCGTCCATCGAGGTACTGGCTGCAGAACCAGAGTCTACTACGGTAGCGGTGGTGGTCGAGTCGGGTGCCATCTCATGAGCAAGAAGCGCAAGGTCGTCACTGGTGTGAGTCGGGCTCAGGGACTGTGCTCTTTGCATGAAATCAAGAGATGAAGAAGATGAAGATGGTGTAGAGGGGGAACTATGACGAGAGGGACGCACAGTGACCGCGGTCGGTGGTAGGTGGCGTGGGCATCTCGAGCGCAATTTTGGACTGCGCGATGTGGGTTGTCACTGGGAGCCGATGTGGACTGAGAGATCTGCGTAAATATTTTTTGAAAGTTCGAGGAGATGAGGTAAGAGGTAGAGATGAGTTTAGAAGGAAATTTTGAAAGAAGATGAAAAATTCCTTGACATATTTAAGGAAATTCAAAGGCAGTTTGAAATACAATTAGAAAGTTAATTCTAAATTAAGAGGTTACGGTGAAATGCCATAAGGAATTGATGATAGCCAGATAAGATAAATTAAGAGAAATTTCGAAATTATTTAGATGAATTAAGAAAAATTATCAACATGTTGTAAAATTAAGAGGAATTTCCAAGAAATTTCAAAAGAATTCCAAAAGAATTCCAAAAGAATTTCAAAAAGAATTGCAGAATTTCGGAATTTTACTGGGGACTGCTAGGCATAGGCCTCGGTAAGCCCTATTGGGCCCCTATTTGCAACAGGTCGGCCGCGCTAGTGAAGGCAGGTCCGATAGACGACAAGAGGCCTATTTTTGACTACTTCGCAACTAGGGAAAATTCAGGCAGTTGCGCAACGCCAGTTGGTTGAAGGCGCCCAGGCCCTGGCCTCCTTTATCGACTGTATCTAAGTCAGGCCCTGGGCGAGATACGCGGCATAGGCCCAACTCAAACAGCGGGCAGTTGGGCACGGGTAACTGTCGGTGGCCCTGGGCCTGGTTCGTTTGGTCTGAGGCTCATCCTCCTTGGGCCTACTGGAAGCTTCTGGGCAGGGACCCAGCGCAGCCAGGCTGCACGCAAGAAGGCTGGCAACTTCCATTTAGGAAAGGGCCAGCCTACGCATTGGACATTCGGGCACTAGCTGCTTTGTGCGCAAGCGCTGCCGCGCTATCGCCTGCCAGGCTCACGCGCTCACGGGCGAGCTGGAAGGAGCAGGCAGCCATAGCCGAGCTGCGCTGCTGTATGCTGGATGGGGCGCATGGTGGTCCTTGGGTGCAAGTGGCATCTGTGAGTTGGGGAACGAGGTTGTGAGTGATACGAGAGACATACCTGGTGCTTGACGCGTGCGGCATTGGTTGAGGTCTGCTCGTACTTGGGAAGTTGTTGACGTCATCAGCGACATCGTAGTCTAAGCTAGATAGGATCTGCCATTCGTAGTCTGGGCGCCGAGCGCCAGATAGGATATCAACATTGGTTCTTCGTTGATGATGATGAGACTATTCCGGCATTGTCAATTATGAGTTTTTTGTGTGCTCTTATTTGGTGAAACTCGTGATGCAATTTTGCTTTTGGTTCGAGGTCACGACTATTTGGTCTCATGTGTATGATTTTGTTTGATTGCTGAAGTTCACTATTGCTCATCTTCCTTGCAATTCGGTATCAGAGTTGTGGTTCGGTGCGCTAATCTGGCGCTCGTCTTCTGCCTAATACGGTACATGCACGCGGTGTGTGCGGTGAGCGACCGTGCCGTGGGACGTGTGTAGTGAGGAGGGCGGAGACAAGTGTGGCGACCCGGGAGGTGAGGGGTATCGCCAGGAAGGCTGTGCGGTGATTATTGGGTGTTCGCAGTGTGATGAGAACTATCCGGTGTGTGATTGATGTTGAGGTGGAACGATTGTGCAATGCTGGTTGTGCTGAAGCAGCGACTAGTCATCACAATCAACATCGGGTCATCTGGTGAAAATATTTGTGGTTGGGGGCAGCTATTTTGAGGTACGTTGCACCTAACCTTATATACCCTCTTCGACACTTCGTACCGTGAGAATGTGTGTTCTGTCTTGAGAGTCCTCTCATGTTTGGAGTCGTGTGCGCTCAACCTTGAGAGTCGTCAATCTTCACGTGGAGCAGCTGAAAGGAGAGGGTGGTGTTATCTAAAGGGCCCTGGACGAAGCACTGGGTCACGGTCACCATGCCAACCCACCGGGAGTAGAGCACGCATGCTTTGCTTCCTTGTCCTTTGTCTGCTCGCTGCGCTTTAGAGGGGTTCTGAAGGGCAGGCCAGCCCTATGGGACAGACAAGACCGAGCGTCTATAAATAAGCACCGGCGGGATACCTTCCATTGACTGTGATCGTCGCACTGTTTGCGACGTTAAAGAATTCATGACGACTTCGGGGGCTGTCCTTAAAAACGCCTCCTGATCAGCCAATTGGTTGGTGTAAGACTTGCTGCACGCGAGGATAAAGACTATGCAGGGCTGGCCAGCTCAGAAGGACTCGGGGCACAGGGGTGGGCCGTGTGCACACCTTTAGACACGCACACTGTCCAGATAGCTCAGGGACGTTGATGACAAGAGACATTCAGGAAGAACTGAGGAAGGGGTAGATTCCAGGTGATAAGTTTAGGCAAGATTCCACTCTGCAAACAGACCCAACAAGTGATTCTATTTTTATTTTTGAGTAGTTAGATGTACAACCGTTGACATCTGACAGACAACATGGTTTAGAACTGTTCTTTGTTCATTGTGCTTCTGTTTGCGAACTAGTCAAAGTCAAAGTAGTTTCGTTTGTAGGGACTTGAACTTACCTGTTGGACCCAAATGTATATACTCTCTGACGCAACCATCAATTAATTAGTTGAATTATAAGTCGGTATGTGCACTACGCTGCGGTAAGCATCAAAGAATGCCTTAGTGCAGATTGTGTACAGTTCAGTAGCTTATGAGCGATAGGGACACCACTAGTGAGGACGATCGGATCTTGCGATCGACTAGACGCCCAATAGCCCACTTGGCCTTAGGACCAGAGGGTGACAGATTTCTCTTCCGCCAGCTTAGGGAGAGGCAGCAGCAGCAGAGGCCAGCAGGGCATTCGCAAGCAAAGCCACAACTTCAGCAGCCATGCAACTTCTGCGCAACAAAGTTCCCAGGCTAGCAGTTCAGGGACCGTAGGGTCAACGGTCTCGCAGACCATGAGTCAGTCCACTGGCGTAATGGCAAGCCAGCCATTACTGTTAACTCCTAAGGAGGTCGCCATACAGCGAGCTGCTGATCGCGAGGCACAACTACAGAAGGCTTTAGGAGAGATTAAGGCTGAAAAAGAAAGAATGATTAGAAGAAGAGTCAGGTTGCAAGGGCGACAAGCTGACATTAGCGAGTTAGAGGAGATGGACCCAGCGGAGTTGGATGATGAAGTGAGGACCCTGAGGTCGGTCTTGCTAGGAGTAGTAGAGATGCAAGATCAACAGACGACAATCTTACAAGATATCCAGCAAAGTCTGGCCGTGTTGGTCGGGCGAGTGCAGGCGGCACCATCACTGTCCGGGCCTGGTGTCTGGCCCGTTGTACATCCTCCTCCTTTTGTCCCATCGGTGACTGGGGTATCCCCATATACCGCTCCAGCATCAATTCAGCCTAACAGACGGGTTCTCAGCAGGTCCTAGTTTGCAGGTTCCTGTACAAACAATGTTCTCCCAACCTCCGTCTCAGATTACCGTAAGCAAGCAGCCTGCTGTCTCGCAGCCTACACAGCCGCAGGGTTCACAACCCCAGCAGATAGTGCAACAACCCGCACCATAGGGTCGACAGTCCGGAATGGTGCAGGTACCGGGACAAAGTCAGTGGGTTCCAAAAACGGCCATCGCCGCTCCTAAACCCTTTACAGGGGATAAGACGGGCGAAGACCTCTGCACTTGGTTGAGGGCAGTGCCAGTCTATGTCAAGTGCAAACTTACCTTGCCGCACGAGGAAGTGTCTGTGGCTGCCTCCTATCTAGAGGGGAGTGCAGCACGATGGTTGAGTGGTTTAATGCAGCTACACGGTTGCGGTCATGACTTTCGCGCTTGGGCGGCCACCCAAAAATTGGATGACTTCCTCAAGTTGGTGGAAGACAGGTGCCATGATACGCAAGAGGCTCAAACGGCTGCTGACGCGATCCTGACACTGCACACGAGGCAGTTTAAGTCAGTAAGAGAGGCCACTGACGTTGTAGAGCGTCTGATCTGTGTCCCTGGGGTTCGCTATGACCCCCAGGTTTTACTCACCCTACCTGAGATGCTTCCCTATGCCTCTCAGGAACCAGTTGGCAGCTGAGGCCAACATCAACATGCACAACTTCCCGTCGTTTAGCAAGAAGGCCCTAGACCTGGAAGCAAAGATAGGGCATGGTCAGACACCCACGCCGGATGGAAGGAAAAAGACACCGCCTTCCAACTGGAAAGCAAAGGGACGCATTATGTTCGTTGACAACGATGGTTTTACCATCGAGTTGGACGACGAGTTCCAGGCGGGAGAAGGTTCAAAGGCGGGCAACATAGAAGCTTCAGGGGGTGGAGTAGTCGTTGTTGTAGCCCCAAAAGGTAAGGCGACCGGTAGACGCCGTGGAGGTTCCCGCTCTAGGAAGTAGACCCCAATGCTCCTCCATGGGAGAAACCGGGTCTTAGTGAGGACGTGTGGAGAGACCGGTACACCCGACAAGCTTGCATTCGTTGTGGCCAATATGGCCATAACCAATTCAAGTGTCATAACAGAAAGGTGACCGAGAAGATCCCGCCTACGATGGGGCAGGCGTTGGGATCCTCCACTCCCATTGGAAGCAATGTGGCCAGCAGTTTTGGCACTGCGCCGGGAAACGCGTTGGGCCAGTAGGAATGGTAGTTGTTCCTGCTAGGATCGAGGTGGTGGACACACCCTCACCATCTCGAGAGATGGCCCAAGCTACTAACTCCATGGTCGTCCCGCAAACATATTCTGACCCATCGAGCCTCTACTCGATGAATGTGTTTGAATCCTTACAGGAGCTAGAGGAGGAGTGGTCTAGATCAGACCCACTAGCCTCTTCGACGACATTGGCCAAAGCCCCAAAGGGAGAGATGTTTGTCGGCGAGATAGTCATCGACGGCCACAAGGCCGGGGCCTATTATGACACTTGCTCGACTGAGAGACGGTTAACGGGGGCCCAAATATTCACCGTTTTCGTTGGCAATTGCAGTGCGAATTTCATTAAAATTTAAAAAAACAAACGATATGAGACCATAGTGCAAACATCAAAAAAGGAAATAGGCAAAAAAAAAAAAAAAAAAAAAAACTATGAAACCCTAACACAAAGACACTGTCCGAGTCAAAATGAAGCGTCCANAAAAAAAAAAAAAACTATGAAACCCTAACACAAAGACACTGTCCGAGTCAAAATGAAGCGTCCAACGAATCCAACAAAATGCCAACTTTTTCATTATTGATCCAAACATGTCAAAACTGCACACATGACGTACCCTAACTCACATATATATCACACAAAAAGGAAAACAAGAAAAAAAGCAAAAAATCAGCACAATATAACAGTTTCAGTGCAATTTGGTGCAAAATTCATCGAAAATAACACCCCTGGTTAACCACGTGTGCTAGGAACTTCATCAATCGCGCGTGCGTTGAGAGGCTGCGCTTACAGGGGCAAGTGCAACGCCTGAGTCGACCTGTGGAGTCGAACTGTGCCAACAAACAACGCATGGTAGTCAACGACTACCTCCAGGATGTTGAGTGTTGTTTCCCGTACGCGGGAGGGGAATTGAGACATCACGTCTCGTTCCTAGTGAGGGATGATCTCCCTATGGTTATCTTGTTAGGTATGTACGACCTCTCCGTGGCACAGACCCAGTTTGACTGGGACCGAAAAGTGGTCAAACACACTTTGCCGGGTGGGGGGACCGCCAAATTACGTAAGTTTAAAGCTAGTAGTCTGATCGAGTCCCACGAATGCATGTGTGCAGCCGCGTTCTATAATTATTATAAGCAAAATCTGGAGGAGGGTATGTATCTAGTCTATGTCTCTGGAGCAGGCGAGCCGGTGAAAATGCCATCGGACATAGAGGGAGTAGTTGCCAAGTACCCTGATCTATTTGAAGAGCCTATAGGGGTTGTTGAGAGGGAGGTCGTCCACGCAATAGAGATTATCCCAGGGTCTAGTATCCCGAAGGGTAGGATCTATAGGATATCTCCAGGCGAGCTTGATGAGCTTCGCTGGCAACTCAAGGAACTCGTAGAGAAGGGTTGGATCCGGCCGAGTGTTTCTCCTTATGGGTCTCCAATCCTATTCGTATTGAAGAAGGAAGGAACACTTAGGATGCGCATTGAATATAGGGGCATCAATGCCATCACTGTCAAGAATAGAGAGCCCCTACCGCGCATCGACGACTTGCTAGATAGAGTGCAAGGGTGTTGGTACTTCAGTAAGATAGATTTGAAGTTCGGGTACCATCAGATTGCAATCCGGCCCGAGGATCAACACAAAACCGCATTTCAGACCAGGTACGGTCTGTACGAGTTCGTGGTGATGCCTTTCGGCCTGTGCAATGCTCCTGGCACGTTTCAGCACGCTATGAATCGGATATTTCATGACTACTTGGATAAGTTTGTCACCGTGTACCTTGATGACATACTTATTTTTAGTAGGATTGTTGAGGAGCATGTAGCACACTTAGACAAAGTCCTCAGTCTCCTTCGGCAGCACAAGTTCAAGATAAACGGGGAGAAGTGTGAGTTTGGCCGCACCCGTATCTTGTACTTGGGTCATGAGATTTCCGCAGAGGGTCCGATGACGCGATGGTGGCCAGCATTCGTGACTGGCCGCGTCCTCAGTCTGTGACTGGGATGAGGTACTTCTTAGGGATGACAGGCTACTACCGCAATTTTGTTCAGAATTACAGCATAGTGGTCGCCCCTTTGACGGACCTGACTCGCCTTGACACCCCATGGGAATGGACAGACAGGTGTGAGGCTGCCTTCAAACATCTGAAGCATGCGTTGACACACCATGAGGTCTTGAAACTACCTGATCCTGACAAACCTTTGGTAGTAACTACGGATGCTAGCCAATATGGTATAGGCGCCGTACTTGCGCAACAGGAGGGGAAGAAGTTGAGGCCAGTAGAGTACATGTCCAAAAGAATGCCCTCTCAGAAGTTGGCTAAGTCCACCTATGAGAAGGAGCTCTATGCGATCTACAAGACGCTCACCCATTGGAGGCACTATCTCCTTGGGAGGTTCTTCTACGTCAGGACTGATCACCAGACCCTGAAGTGGATGAGAACCCAGCCTGTGCTCTTCGACACTTTGAAGTGTTGGATTGAAGTCATAGAGCAGTATGACTTTGAGCCCAGTACATCAAGGGCGAGTACAACAAGGTTGTTGACGCGCTGTCGCGTAGACCAGATTTCTCCGGTGCACTGATCACTGAGTTTGGGCTTGCGGACGATGTTACTCACTCTATGGTGGAAGCCTACCGTGAGGATCAGTTTATGTCCGAGATCATTCGCAGACTCGAGGCGAAGGACAAAATCACTTCTGTCGAGTTTGAGTTGGTCAATGGTCTGTTGTTCCTCGAGAAGGCCGGGAATAAATGTTTGTGTGTTCCCAATAGGGAGTCTTTGCGTAGTTTGTTTTAGGGTGAGTGTCATGATGCCACCGAACATTTTGGCTTCAAGAAGACTGCAGCCAATCTGCTGCAGCGATTCTGGTGGCCCACGATGATGAGAGATGCCAAGTTGTACGTGGAGACATGTGAGGTTTGCCAAAGAGACAAGCCCCATACACAGGCCCCTCTTGGGCTCCGCAAGCCCCTTCCGATACCGGAAAGGGCCAGTGAGAGCCTGGCCATGGACTTCATAGACACACTGGTCACCAACAAGAGTGGAATGAGACACATCTTTGTCATTGTGGATAGGTTTAGTAAGTATGCTATGTTAGTTGCAATGCCGGAAACAGCAAAGACTGAGTACGTCATTAAACTATTCAAGGAGAACTGGGTCAGAGAYTTTGGATTACCAAAGTCTATCATGAGTGACCGGGATGTCAGATTCACTAGCGAGTTGTAGAAGGCTGCAGCTGCAGAACAGGGGACACAGCTGCAGATGACCTCTGGGAACCACCAAGAGGCCAACGACCAAGCAGAGTAGCTGAATCGCGTTGTACAACACCTGCTGCAGCACTACATCAAGCCCAACCAGGTGGACTAGGATGAGAAGCTTGCTCTCATCGCCAGCTTGTACAACAACGTTGTGCACAACGCCACACGGGTGAGCCCTAACAGCCTGCTACTAACTTTCAAGCCTAGACTGCCCCTAGACTTTCTATGACCCGAGAACCTGCAAACTGCTGCACCGGGTACACTAGAATTTGCTTATCGCTATGAACAAACGATGCAGCAGGCAGTGGAACAAATGCAGAAAGCACAGGCGGCAATGATAGAGTCTGAGAACAAACACCGCCGCCCGTCCACATTTCAGGTAGGGGACCGAGTCTGGGTCAAGTCCTTAGAATTGGGACAGGAGCACTGGATATCCCGTAAGCTCATGCCACAGTACTTTGGACCATGGGAGGTTCTAGATGTCGTTGGAGATGAACCGGATGGTCGTTCTTACGTTGTTCGCATCCTTGGTCACCTACGCACATATCCGGTATTTCACGCCTCAAAGCTTGCACCGTTCGGAGAAACTGATCAGTTTCCCTCTCGTCGCTCTATGATGCCCCCAACCATGGGGGGAGAGGTTGACATCGACGACATCGTTGATCACAGGGAGATGCCAGTTCCAAGATCGACAGGCCGGGGACGTCCTCCAAAACCGAAGCTGCAGTATCGAGTTCGGTTCAGACATCGTACTGGTCCAAAGGAGGATAGGTGGTTCACAAGGGAGGAACTGATGCAAACTGCTCCACAGGTTGTCACTCACTATGAGAAGTCTCTGCAAAAAGGAAAGCGCCAGATTATCGAAGATTGAACTTCTCAGAGGACTAGCGAAGTCTGGAGGAGGGAATGTGAGGCATAGGCCTCGGTAAGCCCTATTGGGCCCCTATTTGCAACAGGTCGGCCGCCCTAAGTGAAGGCAGGTCCGATAGACAACAAGTGGTCTATTTTTGACTACTTGGCAACTGGGGAGAATTCAGGCAGTTGCGCAGCGTCAGTTGGTTGAAGGCGCCCAGGCCCTAGCCTCCTTTATCGACTGTATCTAAGTCAGGCCCTGGGCGAGATACACAGCATAGGCCCAACTCAGACAGCGGGCAGTTGGACACGGGTAACTGTCGGTGGCCCTGGGCCTGGTTCGTTTGGTCTGAGGCTCAGCCTCCCTGGGCCTACCGGAAGCTTCTGGGCAGGGACCCAGCGCAGCCAGGCTGCACGCAAGCAGGCTGGCAACTTCCATTTAGGAAAGGGCCAGCCTACGCATTGGACATCGGGAACTGGCTGCTTTGTGCGCAAGCATTGCTGCGCTATCGCCTGCGAGGCTCACGGGCGAGTTGGAAGGAGCAGGCAGCCATAGCCGAGCTGCGCTGCTGTATGCCGGATGGGACGCATGGTGGTCCTTGGGTGCGAGTGGCATCTGTGAGTAGGGGAACGAGGTTGTGAGTGATACGAGAGACATACCTGGTGCTTGACGCGTGCGGCATTGGCCGAGGTCTACTCGTACTTGGGAAGTTGTTGACGTCATCAGTGGCATTGTAGTCTAGGCTAGATAGGATCTGCCATTCATAGTCTGGGTGCGGAGCGCCAGATAGGATATCAACATTGGTTCTTCGTTGATGATGATGAGACTATTTTGGCATTGTCAATTATGAGCTTTTGGTGTGCTCTTATTTGGTGAAACTCGTGATGCAATTCTGCTTTTGGTTCGAGGTCACGACTATCTGGTCTCATGTGTATGATGCTGTTTGATTGCTGAAGTTCGCTATTGCTCATCTTCCTTGCAACACTGAAAGTAAAAATTGAGTTGAGTTCATAAGAATTAAATTTGGTAAATTCCAAAAATTATTTGACGAATTTCTGAAAAGGGATTGAATTTTTTTTAAATATATAACAAAACGAATTTGATATAATAAAGAAATTCATGTAACTTTTGAATAGAGATGCCGAAATTAATTCCGTTCATGGCGCTGGTAGGGAAGAGGGTGAAGAATAATACTATCGAATTAGGTATGAATTCCGCACGATAGGATAGACAACATTGTCATATGTGCGCGAGGGGAGAAAATACGTGTCACGCGAGTTAGGAATTTTAGATGATGCGACCAATTAGGTGGGCTGGTAGAGGAGGGGAGGAGGGATGGAAGGGAGATGGAAGGGAGATGGAAGAAGAGGAAAAAGGTGAGATCTTTGAGAGAGATCGGCGAGAGAAAGAAAGGGAATTAGTAAAAGGGAGGGAAATAGCGTGCTCCCGATCGGCCGAGAGCAATCAAGGTCCTTCCTCCTAGTCGAGGATGGTCTTCAATTACTCCCAAAGGGTCTTCTCGATCCTTCCCCGGTAGAACGATGAGGTCACCGGAATGTTCCCACACAATGACGATGACGAATGGTGATGATGATGATGATGGTGTCCGGTGAAGGTGGGACGCCGCCATGATGGGGATCGTCAACAATGGGAATGGGCGCAGCACGCACTTGATAATTATGCTGCACAATGATCGGGAGAGTCGGCTTCGACAGATCAAAAGGCAACGTCGCTATGAACGCTTAGCAGCCACAAACCAGGTATCCCTGTGGTAACTTTTCGGACACCACCAGCTTCAAGTCCAGGAGCGCTAAAGGATCGATAGGGCACGCTCTCACAGCTTGTTTTTTTTTTTTTTTTTTTTAAAGGGTTGTAGAGGTGTCGGGGTTCATGACCCAGAGAGGATGTCTGCCAGAGGGTTTTCCGCACCGGGGTCAGCCCTACTGACGGTGCAGCGGGCCCACCCACTACCCAGTGATCTGTCAAGGAGGGAACTCTCAATCCTCGCTACCCACCCGGGAGTATCAGCCCAGACCGGTGCTACCAGGCCGCTGCGCCAAGGGTCACCCAGCTCCAACTCAGGGCTTCACCTCCCTATGGCTCCACCGCCGGGAGGCTTTTCACGCCACAATCACAGTGGTGCCACAGGGACGCGCCAGTCCCTGCTAGGCGGGGGGTGACCCCCTCGCTCCTCCCGCACGCTCCAACTGAGCCTGCCCCTCCCGGAGCCACTTCCCCCCCATGGCCTCAACAACCCCAAGGGGAGGCACACGCTCAACCGTTACGGGGACCCAGGAAGTACGGTTGGGATATCAGCATCCAGTGGGCACCCTTGCAGGTGGCTCCCCAGGTCCAGAGCTGCAGAGCCCTGTGTACGACCGTGCCCCTGGGAGCGTGCGCGCTYAGTTTGTGAGTGGTAGTGCGTCAACCTAACGCCGTGCCGGCGGCATATGCACGAGGTTGCGGATTTGAACCCGCAACCTCAGACCACAATGTGCATTTCCACCCAGTGCCCTAACCACTGGGCCAGTTTGTATTCGTACTGGAAATCAAAATCGAATGAATTTTGTCCCTTTTGCTTCACACGAGATTTCTGTTATCGTGGAGGTCGTCTTAGGACACCTGCGTTATCTTCTAACAGATCTGCCTCTCCCGCCAAGTTCCCGTCGTGCACGAAGGCACGGGCAGGGAATAGATGGTGGGGGGGAAATCGTAAGGCGAGGGTGAGAAGAGGTCGCGAAGCAGCGGGAGGAGGGCAGAATCGGTGATATGGCTGGGGAGGGAATTGGGATCGGGGTGGGGGGAGCCCTGGCGGAGATGGGACGGGATCGGGGCAGTCGATTGGGGGGGAAAAGTCGAGGTCAGTATAGGGGGGAGATAGGTGGCGGGGTCGGGACTGGGAGAAGAGGTGGGCCGCAGATAGGAATCGGGGTGGGAGGGGGACGGGATCGCGGT